AAGCCCATGAGGGCGTAAGCATTCCTAAAGCACTTCACTAGACTGAGACTGAGTAGTTTAATTCCTATCTTGCACCTTAATTTCAGGAGAATTTAAACTTTTTCATTTATGCAGAAAATTTTAACCAGTAGATAGCAGACACCTTTTATATCCTATGCCCTAAAGTGCAAAAATGAAGATCAATTATATTTTGAAAGAAAGTCAAATTTATTCCAAAATAAGCTTTTAATAAATTATTTCTGTTGTAATAAACATAAACACAAAAAGAAAGATTCCAGAGGGTGGAATTTCTCAAGAAATTAAAATGTGATCTAGGAATCAAATTTATAGTCAAATTTGGAAATCTAAATAATTGAAGGAGAAAATTTTTATCTTTGAAGATCAAGAACCTGGATTTTATTGCTGGTTTATATGTATAAAATATTTATAAATATGCCATAGAAATTTATATATATGTATACAGAAGTTACAGCTATATAAAGAATTTTTATTAAATAGCACTTTCTTAAATACTCAGCCCAGAATAACGTGAAACTAGTATAAGAGTGGGTGTTTATAAGAACAGGTTTGAGCTCATGTTTTGTCTGAAAACTTTGTTAGATCATACTTTCAGTCAATAGTAAATCAGGACAGAGAGTGGACTAAGTTCTTCTTAAGCATATATCTAAATTAAAAGACAATAAAAAATTGTAAAAAATCTTAATCAAACCTAAAATTATTGTTCTGAATTTAGAGCCACTGCTCTGAGTGTTATTCAAAATTAATTAAGTTCCTTGAGTTCATAAAATTTATTCCACCATTGCAATGTTCTCAATAATATTAGGTGTTTGGATTAATATTCTATTGCAAAGTTTGATGTTGGTTCCTATTAAGAAGTAGAGTTATTTTTTTCATAATGGGATTTAACGTCATTTTAACCAGCCTTAATTAAACTTTAGCTTGTAAATCATTTTATTGAGAAGTGCAATGAAATTTTCTGAGCTTTATGGCATTTTAATTAAAATGAATTAAGCCAACTTGTGGTTAAGTGCCTGCAAACTAGTTCCCTTACATTTCTAAGTTTTACAGCTTTTAAGCTTTATCACGAGTCAACGGAACAGAACCTTATGCCATAAAAATCCATTTTTTTTATGTACCTATTGGTAGCTAATAAAACAATTTAAAGAAAGAACTGAGTCATATTTTGATCTAACTATCAGTTATGTAACGATAACAGCATGGTTAATACAAACTATGATCGTATATATACTTTCGATTGTTGTGTCAGCATCCCATTTTGGGTGCATATGTATAGTTAAAACATTACTCATTGAAAGTTAAGTTTTACATGTAAAAATACTCAAATTCATAATGTGACTACTTTATGGACATATGTAATGGATATCTACTGCATCCAGCTCTGGAGCTCCCAACATAAGAACATGGATCTGTTGGAGAGAGTCCAGAGGAGGGCCATGAAGATCATAGAGTCATAAAGTTGCCTAGGTTGAAAGGGAGCTTTTGGATCATCTAGTCCAACTGTCAACCTAACACTGACAAAAACCATTGTTAAACCATATCTCTTAAGCACTACATCTACCCATCTTTTAAATACCACCAGGGATGGTGCCTCAACCACTTCCCTGGGCAGCCCATTCCAACACTTAAGAACCCTTTCAGTGTAAAAATTTTTCCTAATACCCAACATAAACCTCCCCTGGTGCAATTTGAGGCCGTTTCCTCTTGTCCTATTGCCTGTGACTTGGGAGAAGAGACCGACCCCCACCTCTCTGCCACCTCCTTTCAGGTAGCTGTAGAGAGCGATAAAGTCTCCCCTTAGCCTTCTTTTCTCTAGGCTAAACAACGCCAGTTCCCTCAGCCACTCCTCATACGACTTGTTCTCCAGACCTCTCACCAGCCTTGATGCCTTTCTCTGGACATGCTCCAGCACCTCAATGTCCTTCCCATAGTGAGGGGTCCAGAACTGGAGACAGTACTCAAGGTGGGGCCTCAACAGTGCCCAGTACAGGGGGATGATCACTTCCTTGGTCCTACTCACCACGCTGTTGCAGGCTAGGATGCTGTTGGCCTTCTTGGCCACCTGGGCATACTGCTGGCTCATATTCAGCCAGCTGTCTACCAACACCCCAGGTCCTTTTCTGCTAGGCAGCTCTCCAGCCACTCTGCCCCAAGCCTGTAGTCCTGCATGGGGTTATTGCGACCCAAGTGCAGGACCTGGCACTTGGCCTTGTTAAACCTCATCCCATTGGCCTCGGTCCATTGATCCAGTCTGTCCAGATCCCTCTGCAATGCCTTTCTACCCTCTAGCAGATCAACACTCCCACCTAACTTGGTAGTGTCTGCAAACTGACTGAGGGTGCATTCAATCCCCTTGTCCAGATCACTGATAAAGATGTTAAAGAGAACTTGCCCCAGTACCATGTGATGGGGAACACCACTTGTGACCAGCCATGAAATAGATTTAACTCTGTCCACAGTCTCTCTCTGGGCCTGTCCTTTCAGCCAGTTTTTTACCCAGCAAAGAGCACTCCCGTCCAAGCCATGGGCAGCCAGTTTCTCCAAGAAAATGCTGTGGGAAACCATATCAAAGACCTTACTAAAGTCCAAGTAAACAACATCCACAGCCTTTCCCTCATCCACCACATGGGTCCCTTTGTCACAGAAGGAGATCAGGTTTGTCAAGCAGGACCTGCCTTTCACGGACCCATGCTGACTAGGCCTGATCACCTATTGTCCTTCATGTACTGCATAATGGCACTCAGGATGACCATGACTTTTCCAGGCACTGAGGTCAGACTGACAGTCCTGTAGTTCCCCGGATCATGCTTCCTGCCCGTCTTGTGGGCATTTGCTAGACACCAGTCATCTGGGACCTTCCCAGTTTGCCTGGACTGCTGGTAAATGATGGAAAGTGGCTCAGTGAGCACTTCTGCCAGCTCCCTCAGTACCCTCGGTAGATCCTATCTGGCCCCATATGTGTGTGTCCAGGTGTTGGAGCAGGTCCCTCACCATCTCATTTTGAATTACTGGGGCTTCATTCTGCTCAGAGGGCTGGAACACCTCTCCTATGAGGACAGGCTGAGAGAATTGGGGTTGTTTAGCCTGGAGATGACTCTGGGGAGAGCTTATAGCAGCCCTGCAGTATTTAAAGGGAACGTACAGGAAAGATGGGGAGGGACTCTTTAGTGATCAGATGAGGGGTAACAGTTTTAAACTGAAAGAAGATAGATTTAGATCAGATATTTGGAAGAAATTCTTTACTGTGAGGGTGGTGAGACACTGGAACAGGTTGTCCAGAGAAGCTGTGAATGCCACATCCCTGGAGTTGTTCAAAGCCAGGTTGGATGGGGCTTTGAGAAACCTGGTCTAGTGGGAGGTGTCCCTGGTGATGGCAGGGTGGTTGGAACTCGATGATCTTCCAACTTCATCCATTGTATGATTCTGTGATTCATAATAATAAGCATCACTTTCAGCTTTAGCTAATCTATTCTATTTGCATGTATGTATTTGATACGTATTTAAATTACGCATTTCAATGCGCTTGTCTGTCATGATTTTGTCATGTCTATGTCTGTATTACTCATCTCTCCTACCTTATATAATATACTGTGCAGTTAGTTTTTAATAGATTCTTTTAAGCAGTAACATTCAAAAAATAGGATGTTGGAGAATTTAATAATTTCCTTGTACTTCATGGGGCAGATAGAGGAAAACATGTGACTTACTAGGGCCAGAGTATAATTCTGATTTTTTAAGTCTTTCACCATTTTTTCCATTACCAGTTATATAGTCTCAGTAATACTGCATTACTTCTATTTCAGATCTTGATGACCAGTTAGTCTTTCCCATAACCCAGACTCAAACAAACAATTATAAATAGCATTAATTTGACTTTTAGTATGCTAAGAATTGAATTGGGTAGGTGTAGCAGTGGAATTATCCACTTCCTTCAATTGTGATGTTCTTACACTTAAATCCTTGACTCATGCTTTGTCATTCTTTCCCTCCTTCTCATCTTACTCTCACAAAATCTATCCAAAAGTATCATTATGATATTCATTATTGTCCTTTAGCTATCAGATATTGTAACTTACTTCTCCCTCCAACACTTTTTACAGGTTTTTTTTATGTCAAAGATTAGATTTTTTCCAGGAGGAGAGTCTTGTGCCTCCAAGTCTATGCCTACTTCACTTTCTTCTTACAATTGTCTATGAATCGACAATATGGGAACACATTTGCAATTTCTGCATAGAGATCAAGCACCCTACAAGAAATATTTGGAGAAAGATACCCTGCAGAGCTGTGCTTCTGTTGTGTCCTGTTAATGTAGAGTAGGTAGTTCAGAGAGCTCTTAAGTCAGTTCTTAGGACTTAGTCAACTAAATATAACATTTTTCTTTAGTTTATATAGTTTATATGTTTTATTTTGGTTAGTTTTTTATAATTATTCCTATATGTATTATAATTTCAGTACTGTGAGTTTTTAATTACTGTATACATTTTGCAAGTTGACTGTATGCTAACAATCTGTTCTAAACAAGTTCAAGAAATAATGTTGTTCCTGGTGTTGATCTTCCTCAGCCTTGTCATATGTATAGACAGCCATCATCTATATATTGATAATTATATGACTGACAAGTTATTTGAGAAATGGATCAGATGATAGAGAAAAAATACAGGAAAAGGTAGCATATGCATGTAAAGGTTTACAGTATTTCGAATGTGCTCAATTACAACTGAGTTTATAAAAAACTCAGACCTGCCCTAGCCTTTACTAATTCTGTCAGTTTTTAATTACAATATTACCATATAATCTTCATATTGTTTTCTGAATATATTCATATATGAATTACAACTATAACTGTTTAATTCTAATAATCTTTGGTTTGTTTTTCTCACGAGCTGTAAGAGGGCTGGGTATGGCAGATATTGACTAATCCTATGGGTTTATTAGCTTTTTCTTACAGTATTACTGAATCTGAAATACTTTCTTCTTCTCAGGAGAATATAATGGAAGTCATAAGAAATCAAGAATTTTTACTTCTACCAGCTGACGAACTCCATAAACTTCTTGCCAGTGATGATGTGAATGTTCCTGATGAAGAGACTATTTTCCATGCCTTAATGATGTGGGTGAAGTATGATATGCAGAGGCGATGCAATGACCTAAGTATGCTACTTGCTTATATCAGATTACCACTGCTTCCACCACAGGTATTTTTTAAATTATTATTTTATTTTGAATACTAATATTAATACTACTGCTACTAATAATGTCACTGTTATTGTGAAAACTTTTCATCAGTTTATAATCTGTGACTACTGAATACTCCAGGTGTTAAAAAGTAAAACTGTTCAGAATAGAAAAAAATTCATGGCAGCCCTTCATCCAGAGTGACATCAATAAACTTGAGGATTGGGTCAACAGATACCCAAGAAGTGCAGAGCTGTGAAACTGAAAAGGAGTAACTGCAGATATCAAAACATGCTAAAGACAGGCAGAATAGTAAATATTCTCAGAAAATAGCCTAGGGATTATGACAGATACCAGGCTGATTATGAGCCAACAGCATGAATGAAGAAAACTGCATATTTGTTTACATCAGGAAAAATTCTGTCAGTAGGCCACATGAAGTTATTATTCTCATAATACCTAGTGCTGCTAAGGCTGCACCTAGAACATTGTTTCCAATTTTGTGCTCCACAATCCAAAAGACACAGGAAGAAACTGGAGAAGGTCCAGTGACAGGCTACCAAGATGGTACATCAGCTAGCAGAGGAGAGACTAAAGAAGTGGACTTATTTAGTCTGGTGAGGAGCATGCTAAGTGATGACCTAATAGAAACCCAACTCTTTTTAAAGGGAAGGTCATGGAACCAAATATTTTTGGGGGAGCACCATGAAATGTAAAGGGCAAATGCCCCAAGGTATAGTATGGACATTTCAGTTTGGACATTGGCTGAGAGTGGGGAAGTACTTGGAAAGCAGTGAACCACTTCATCAAGTTTTTCAGAGGCTAAATAGTCTTCTTCGTTGAATTAGCCAGACCGGGTGATGACCAAATTCAGTGTTGGCATTAGCCCTGATTTGAGTGAGAGGTTGAACTAGTTGACCGCTGGAGGTCCTTTGGAGCTCCCTTCCTGTGAATGCTTCTATGATTCTGTGATTAAGGCTTTAGTTCCTTTTTTTCCCAGAAAAGTAAATAGTAATTTTCTTCTGTTTAGTACCTCCAAATAATAATTCTTCTTTCAGCTACTGTAAAAGCTCAGGGAAAGCAGGAGGAAGGGGGAGGACAATTGTGATTTTGGTTATGGTTTGTCTTCCCAAGCAACTGTTACACGTACTGAGGCCCTGTTTGCCAGGACATGGCTGGACATGTGGCTGCCAATGGAGTTAGTGAATTCATTCCTCTTATTGCTTTGCTTGCGCACACAGCTTTTTTTTTTTTCCCTATTAAACTGCCTTTATCTTGATCTGTGAGTCTTCTCATCTTTCTTTTGTTTTATCCCTGTCACACAAGAGAAGGGAGTAAGAGAGAGGCAGGGTGGGTGTTTGGCTGCTGGCCATCATCAACCCATAATAATCCTCTTTTGCCACCCAACGTTGGGCACCAAAAAGGGCTGTTTATGGGGAAGGTCACAACAGAATTAGGCAGTGATGAGTAAGGTAGGAATCAGCTTCCACTTCAGTCTTTTTTTTTTATGGTGAGTTTTAGATAATTCCATAATTATACTAGCAATAATATCAGATGATATCAACATCTACAGGAGTAATTTCTACATAGGAAGCCATAGATAATGTTCTCACATCTCTTCATGTTCATTTGAGCATACTTACTGTTCCTTAGGGAATCCTCAGATCCTGAGCTGAGGGTCCAATGAATAAACAAAGGAGTCACTGATACAGCAAAAGATATTGCTGAGCTATTTGTTCTCTACCCGAGTCTGCAAAATTTATTTCCTTCAGACCATGAAAGAAAAAAAAAGACAAAAATTACATGACAATGGCAAATTTTGGTTTCGAATCCCAGTTACTATTCTGGAAATCCAAGTTCAAATCTGCTTAAAAAGACAAGTAAATATCAGTATTAGAATCCTCATATGACATCCTGAAGTTCCTTCATATTGAGTATATGATGCTGCAAAATCAAAAAAAAACCAAAATCAAACCAACAGGGAGGAACCTCAAGCACCACATCTTGGGACACCCTTACTTCTCAGTTGTTAACTCAGTCTGTGGCTCTGGTTTGAACCACTCCAGTTAGCTCTCTGCCAGACAAATGTGCCAGAGGGAATTGTAGTGCTACCCCAGTTGGCACTACTCAGTCGTTTCTTGTCATGTTTCCATTAACAGCATAGCATATGATTCTCTGACATGCTTAAGCAGTGATTCTGTTTCAGCTAATATTTTGAAGAGTATGGGAAGAAAGATGAAGGTAGACTAAGAGTGGCAGCTCACTACAGGACCAGGTACTTGTATTGTAATGTCTATGATATACAAAAATATACCCACTCTGAAATGGATCAAAAAAAGAATGCTAGGAAGGAGATGACTAAAATAGATCCCAGAGGGTTGGGTGAGCTTTTTTTTTTACTCTCCAATATAAAATGTGCATGAGGAGAGAGTCAAATACGACAAAGTTAAAGGTTTTGTTGCCAAAAATGTGAGCTGTTTATTTTTCAACATGTACACCAGCTGAGAAGCAAGCACAATACTGTGCGTTGCTGCAGTCTTTAAAGTGTTTATTTAAATCAGCTCTTACAAAAGGTAATTTAAACTGTTCACAGACCAGCATCACCTCTAGCTTTTATTGTGTAGAAGGAGATCATGCTGGTTTTGTTTGTTATTGGTCTCTGTCTGAGTTTGTATTAATAGTTCTGTTTATAATTCATGTGTGCAACTTCTACCACTACGGAATGAAATGAAGCTATTGACATGTTAGATTAAAGGACTACAACTATTTTATTTTATCTTATTTTTATTTTATTTTTCATAATTAAAATTAAGATATAACAAAGTTTTAACAGAAGGTCGTTGAGAGCTGGAGGTGAAAATTTTCTTTTTATTACCGAAAGGTGAAATTTTTCCTGCTATGATTTATACTTAAGTATAAATCAAACAAAACACACTGTCACTTTCATTGCACTGAAAATTAACTGAAGAGCTCTCTGGAGAGAAGGCAGGTCAAAATTAAAACCTAATCATTGCCCCTTTGAGAAAAAAAAGATTTGGGTTCCTTACTTTTAAATTCACTTTAAAAGATGAAGTCATAGACTGCAAAGATTATTAACAGATTGGAAAGATTGTACTGAGATCCTCTCAAAATGAAGGCTTACATTTATAGCTTGAGTTTTTATGACACCTTATTTCATTTTCAAGGTGCAGTAATTATATTGGCAATGTAGTCAGACTTGAGAAATAGGATATCAAACAATGTAATTCAAAATTCAAAAGAAGAATTCAGGAGAAGCCAATCTGTATTAACATATTAAAAGGAAAGTATCATGAACTTGAAAATGAAATAATAGAACCTGCAATGTAGCCATAGAACTTTAGTTTAATTTTGCTCCTTTGATTTGCCTGAAACCATCTACTAGACTTAAACAGTTCTTATTTTTTTCATTTAAGTCAAACTAGAAAGATTGGTGGCTTGACCAATGTAAGAATTTATTTTACATTAGACTAGGTAAGATTTAGCTACTTCCTTTCTATAGGTGTTACAATTATTTTGTGCTGATCTGTACAGAAAATGTATTTTATTTTATGTTCATTTTCACTCCTAAAGGATTAAGAGAGAGTAAAAATTTGGTGGGAGCCTTAAACCTTGTTAACGCTGAAGCATTTTAGATTATTTACTAATAATGTTTTTTCCTGTGATTTTTAATAATATTCTTCACTGAGAATATAATAAAAAAAAATTCCTGTGATTTTTGATAACATTTTTAACTTACAATATGTTAAAAACCAAATGAGTTAAGAAACAAACAAAAAATATTTTTAAGCTGACATTTTATTTTATCAATTAATTCCACAGTTTCAAAATCAGTAAAATGAAAAAGTTCTAAAATAAGACTCCTACATCCAAAACCAAAAAACCTATTTTACTGCCACAGCAACTCTGATGTAACAGGTTCTAAGTAGTGCTCTCAGAACATGACATTCTTTGTCAAGGAATTAAATTATTTCCTATTTTTTACAATAATGAATAAATTATTCTCAAATTCTTCCTTACAACTGATACATGCTGATTGGTGAAATCAATGACATGAACATCAATGAGAACTAACTTTTGCAAGATAATTTGATTCCATGTGAAATAAAGATCATTACAGGTCTTGATTTAAAAAAATAATAATAATTTGTATTGATAACATCATTATCAGGATACATGTAGTAGAATTTATTTACATTACATTCCATTTGGTAATAGTTTAATTTCACTAGAGCATTTATGTTCCTATGATGCACAGTCTGTTAGACTCAGATACTCAGATGCTTGCTTATCTACCTTTAAATACAGATAATGTTTTGTTTACATGACTCTACTATGCTAATACTTTGTGGTCATTCAATTCTAATCCTGTGTGTTACTGAAAAGGTTTAAAAGTGAAACAGCTCTGCCGTGGAAATGCTATAATAACCCCACAGCAATGGCTATTCCATGATGATTTTGAGAAAGTGGAAGGGCAACCAAGTGAGACATAGCTTTCTAAAAGTGGGTTCAGAGACTTTTACACTTTCTACTGTAAGTTACCTTTTCTAATTTAAAAGCAAAAATCCACTACTCAATTAAAACACTACAATTCTTGCTGAAGGGAAAGGCTAAGTGAATGACCCATGCAGGAGAGGCATTAGTCACAGCCCAGTTGATCTTCCAAAACTTATGAGACAGTGAAGACCAGATCTACAAACCTTCTTACGTATCAGAGTCAAAAGTTACAGGTCCTGAAAACTCATAGACCTCTGTTACATAACCCTGGACATGCTTAAAGGCTGAGTACCTTATTCTTAAGCCCATGAGGGCGTAAGCATTCCTAAAGCACTTCACTAGACTGAGACTGAGTAGTTTAATTCCTATCTTGCACCTTAATTTCAGGAGAATTTAAACTTTTTCATTTATGCAGAAAATTTTAACCAGTAGATAGCAGACACCTTTTATATCCTATGCCCTAAAGTGCAAAAATGAAGATCAATTATATTTTGAAAGAAAGTCA